CGCTCTGCAAGGCCGGACCTGCACACAGCTGCCAAAACTGTCCCGTGTGCATGTGAGAGAGAGAGAGAGAGAGAGAGTCAGAGAGAGAGAGTCAGAGAGAGAGAGAGAGAGAGAGTCAGAGAGAGAGAGAGAGTACTGTACTGTTACTGTACATCACCATGTGTTTGTGTGTTTGACTGTGTGTTGTTTTAGCTGTGGAGCGCCTCTAGTCCACAGTATACGGCTCCCTTCAGGCCTCAGCAAATGTTTAATTTATGCTGCTGTGTGTGTGTGTGTGTGTGTGTGTGTGTGTGTGTGTGTGTGTGTGTGTGTGTGTGTGTGTGTGTGGATGCTCGGACTTTTCCCTCTTCCCTGCCCTTTCCTGAATCTCTGGGTCAGGGGGCTGTTACTGAGGAAAACAACTATTTTAAGAAACCTGTAACCTTTATTTCTCAGAAGGGGGGTGGGGGGGTGGGGGGGGGTCTCTGACGCAGCATCTCAGGCATGATGGGTTATTGAAACTCCTCAGGTCGAGGTGACCCACCCAACTCGTTTAGTGCTTAGTGTGTCTTTCACTTGTACGGGACCAGAACCAGAGATTTCTTTAATCTCCTTCTTGCACCACTTTGCTTTCTTTTCTTTGTGTGTTTGGCTCCTTCCCACTCTTCCTTTGTTATTCCTTCTCTTTATCTTTCTTTGCTTCACTTCCTCATTCTCTCCTGTGGATGCACACTCAGCACTCACTGTTCCAACCAAGGGAAAAACAGGGAGGAAGGAGGAGGAAGGAGGGGTGGTTAATTCGCTCTCTGCTCTTCATTCGTCTCGTTCTGAGCTTGTAAACAGCTTCATGTTACAGAAAATACAATCACAGACCCCCTTCTACACACACATATACACACATATACACACATATACACACATATCCTCCCACAGCGACACATGAAGCTCCTCCTCTTGTTCTTCGACTCGTTCGTTGCACGTGCTGGAGCCCCCTCTGCTTCCTGGGTTTGGTCTCCCCGTCTGAAGCTCTGCTCTCTGCCCTAATCTACTTTCTGTCTGATGCCATGTAATGTGTATTTCCATTATTCCCAATCCCCCTTTTTTTTTTTTTTTCTTTTTCTGTGTCACCGGACCATCTGGCGGCCTTCTTAGGCGCCCGCTCGCTGGTCGACTGATGGTCTGACTGATTCCAACACACCCACCATCAACGTGCTTTTTAGTTGAGAAATCTAAATGTTCTGGACACTTTCTCCTTAATGAATGAGCTTTTACCTTTGAGGTGGGGCTTGTTAGCTGGAAAACGTATGAACCGCACACACAGCACTTCATTCTGCCCGGTGAAGGGGATGAAAGCAACACGGCTGTGAGTCCAGGCTGCGGACTATTTTTACCATGCAGGAGATGGCTGTGTGGGATGGAGGAAGGACAGTATATGCTCTGTTTACGGCATGTGACCAACAGAGGGGAGAAGTGGAGGGGGTGGGGGGGGGGGGGAAAAAGATGAATGAATGCCAAAGGTCAAGAGTTGCTCAGAAATATGACATTGGAGCCAGCTAGACACGAGCAGCAGTTGTTGATATCGGGCTCGTGTGTATGTGGTGTGAATCTGGCAGCTCGTAGTTTTTAGGGGTAAATCCCTTCCAGGCACAGAGGGGTCATAACACCCTTTCAGAAACACCCCCACCCCTTATTTATTTCCACAACTTATTTCTTGTTTTTTTTTGGGGGTGTTAAAATCTAAAATATAAGACTTCTAATACGAGGGAGGACAACATGACGTCAGGTCGATGGAGGTATGCAGCCTGGTGTTCGTCAGCTGGTGTTTGCTAATCTTACGGCCCTACTTGGCCGCTCTGATGGATGGAGTCTCATCCTGTGCGTCAGGACAGGACCGGTCAGAGCTGGTTCTCAGTGAGCCAGCGGCAAGCGGCAGGAGTTTCCACTTGCTGCAGCAAACGCTCCTTCCTTATTTCATTTCTCTGTTCCTTTCCTTGCAAATGGCTCTGTCCAGTTTCCCCTTTTTTCTTCTCTCTCTCTCTCTCCCACCCGCCTGGCTTCAAGCTCAGCATTTTTTCTCTTTGTCACCTCACACTCGGCCTTTTCCCTTTGCCATTTTCAACACCTCAGCGCACAATCTCATCCCCGGTGTATGTGAGGAAGTGCAGGGCAGCCAGAAAGTTTGCAGTCACAGGGGAAACTTTATTGAAACTGGTTAGAAATA